TGTAACGCCTAATAGTATTAATATTAATCTTAGTAATATACATATATATATATATATATATATATAATATAATGTAATGACAGTGAAGGTAAAGATTATATAAATAGTAAGGGTTTGACTTACGTGAGGAGGGGAATGACATGAATTTGACTTATGTCATTTTCCTCCTTGCGTCATTCTCCCCCTTACTATCAATCTTACTATTTATATAATCTTCACCCTCACTGTCATTGTCTTCATCTCTTTCAACCTCAACTTCATTTTTTTTGCCCTCTCCCAAGTAAGGCTAAAAACCTAATTTGGTCTCTTATTATAATTGTTTGTTTCAATTTAGTCTCACTTTAATTTTTTGTCTCAATTTGGCCCCTAATAAATTAAATTGGCAATGTCGGACTTCCGTCCAAATTTGTTTAACGTCGTTTGGGCATTTTTCACGTGGAAAAAAATTAAAATGTCATAATTTTATTTAATGGAGACGTGGATTTCTAACGTGGAAGAAAGGATTTTGTTTCCCAAAATCGCGAGAGAGAAGAGATAAGAGAGAAGAGAGAACTCAGATCCATTGGTTCACAGGAGATAAAGTTGTTCTTAGGTATTTGAAGAAGAAGAAGGCGCATGCATTGGTGATTGATTTGAAGAAGAAGCCACGTTTGTGTGTTGTTCTAATCGGGTAAGTATTTACTTTAGGGTTTTTTGTTTTTTTCATTTCATGTTTGATTAAAGGGTCTTTTTGGGGTGAATTTAGGGCTACAGGTAAGAGTGGGCCTGGGGTATGAGTTGCGTTTTGGTGTTTATTGGATAGATTTTGCTTTTGGTGTGGCCCCAAACAATGGGTTCGTGGCAATTTGTAGGAGTGGTTAGATGGATGTTTTCTAAAGGGTTATTATGGTGGCCAAATATTGGCAGCAGTTGGAAGAGATCCAAATGAGCAAATGCTGCCAACATTTTTTGCAGTTGTTGAAAGCGAGAATAGAGACTCATGGGAGTGGTTTTTACACCTCCTAATTTCTTATCTTGGAGGATTTTCAACTTGTGTCAATTACACATTCATTTCTGATCAACAAAAGGTAAAATTTTAAATTTTTTAAATTTATACTTGAGAATGAGTATATTGATTGATTCTGTGTGTAATATTGATTATGTAGGGGTTGCTGCCAGCAATCAATGAATTGTTGCCCGGTGTAGATCAAAGGTTTTGTGTTAGACACCTTTACAATAATTTTATGAAGAAGTTTCCTGGAAAAAAATTAAAGGATTTGATGTGGAAGACAGCTACAGCCACATATCCTGTAGCATGGGAAAGAGAAATGCATGAGATTAAAAAAGTGGATGTTGAAGCATTCAAACATTTAATTCAAATTCCCCCTAAATGGCCAGCAACTCTGGACCAAGACATGGTGCCCTAATGTTCTTCCACCGCCATGTAAGAAAATGCCAGGATGCCCTAAGAAAAGAAGAAATTTGGAGCCATGGGAAGTGAAGAAGGATGACACTCAATTGAGAAGGAGGGGATGTAGGAGAAAGTGCAGTAGGTGCAAGAGTTTTGGCCATAACAAATCAACCCAGCCATGTCAACCCACACAATCATCTGAGCCCACCCATCTATCTCAACCCACCCAACCATCTGAGCCCACCCAGCCATGTCAACCCACACAACCATCTAAGCCCACCCAACTATCTCAACCCACCCAACCATCTGAGCCCACCCAGCCATGTCAACCCACACAACCATCTGAGCCCACCCAACCCTTTGAACCTATCAGGGAGAAGTTGAAGCCTAGGAAAGCACGACCACACTGAAAACCATGACAAAGTTGAAGATTGTTGTTTGTTGCTTTTAGGGTTTATAGACAATATTTTGTGTTTAGACTGTATTGATGATTTATGATGTAGCAGACTTTTGAGATAATGTTTTGCATGACAATATTAAATGTTAATGATATGAAAATATTTAATGTAGGAGACTATTATTATTGTGATTTACAACAGTTGGCTACTTATATTTCAACAAATGCTATACGCTATTTTTATGATCATTGTTTGATTTATATAGTTTTTACAAATGCAAGAATAAGAGAATCGCAAATAATATGACAAAGTGTGGTAAATGACAATATATTAACTAACTGTGGTAAATGACACTATTAACTAAGTGTGGTAAATGACACTATTAACTAAGTCCAAGTCATTAGTAAAGAAACATCTTAAGTCCAACCCGTGAGAATCACAAACATCTTAAGTCCAACCCGTGAGAATCACAAACATCTTAAGTCCAACCCCTGAGAATCACGGCCGTGATTCCCTCTGTTATTAGTCAGATTAACAAATATCTTAAGTCCAACCCGTGAGAATCACGACCGTGATTTACAATCACGCTCGTGATTCCCTTTGTTATTAGTCCGAATAAAAACATTTTAAGTCCAACCCGTCAGAATCACGGCCGTGATTTACAATCACGCCCGTGATTCCCTCTACTATCAGTCAGGAAAAAAAACACCATCAGTACGATATTCACAGTCGTGCTTCACAATCACGCCCGTGATTGACACGCCGTCAGTGACATTAAAACCATGATACAAATCACTGCAAAAATCACGGGTGTGAATCTCACCCACACCTGTGATTCGTCCCAGCCACCCAAAACCCTAGCTTCCTCCTAAAAAAACCCGGCCCGTGACTTTTAAACTTCATTCTCCCCTAACCCACTCAAAACCCTTGCAATGGCCCCAAAGCGAATTCGTGCATCTCATGGGTCATCTTCTACCAATCCCACACTTGAGTTGGAAGACATGGAAGTACCCGCTCTTCCGCCTCTACAATTCCGAGAACAAGAAGAAAAACAAGAAGAGGAAGTGGGGGCGGATAATAAGAACCTTCAAATGAGAATAATGAAAAGATACTCATCCACAAAAACATAAAGAAGAAGAAAAGAGGAAGACATCCAATTACGCATCCAAGTGGTGTCCATGTACGTATCCAAGTGGCGTCCATGTACGCATCCAAGTAGCGTCCACGTCGCCAGGAGTTAACCCCGTTAAAAAAATTTGGACGGAAGTCCGACATTACAACAATTTAATTTATTAGGGGCCAAATTGAGACCAAAAATTAAAGTGAGACTAAAAACAAACAATTATAATAAGGGACCAAATTAGGTTTTTAGCCCCCAAGTAATTATCACAATCTTTCCTTCCTCCCTTTTCTACATCAACTCCCTCCATCTCTTTTACATTCCCCCCTCAAACAACATTAACATCTATAACTTGAACTTCATGATTTGGGAAATTAGTTTGGCCTTCACTAATTATAGGAACATCCATTAAGTGTTCCACAAAATTATCTACATAATCATAATTTTTTACATCCTTTTTAGAAACTAAGTGACCTCTGCATCATTATTAAGCGACTTCAAACATTTATTTTAAGTCAAATTCAGGGTGTTTGCACCAAATATATCTAAATTCTTGGTAACATAAATTGTTGATATACTTTGATATATCAATGGAAGACATTTCATCTACATGCCATTCAACTTTGTCTACATTATACTAGCCCCTTAAATATTTAGTTGTTGGATGATGCACAAAAATTCCCCATGGTATGTTCTTATTCTAACCTTATCAAACATTGTTAGCCTTCAAAATAAACAAAGCCACAAAAATGTAAACAAAGTAACTTGCTAATGTATATATAATATACAAAGTTAAAATTTGTTATCGAAATCTATAGTTGTTTAAATATTTTCTCCCCTCAAAAATTGTGGATCACCAAGGTCAAAATCTTTAGTCTTTATTTGATCCTTCCAATAAGTTGAAAAATGAGTTTATCAAGACCTTATTTGATTCATCCTTTGTTGTGAACACAAATAATTGGAGCCAATAATAGTAAGATGCTTCCTTGCCTTTATCTTTCATGCAAGAGTGTTTTCTTATTTACAGAGTCACCTGCGATTTTTCTTCTCCTTTATTCTTGTTTTACCAAAAAGCTATTTCTTTTTCTCGGAAGGTTTTGAGAACTGAACGATACATTTTAACTTTGAAAACATGATTGCATTAATTCTTTTATCCTTTTATTTTGAGGCATTTGTTTCATTTTAAAACCCCAATTGTTTTTGTTTTTAGTTTTCAAGACATTAAAACAAAAGCTTATTCACCTAATACCATGAGTAATTTAAAGATAAATCAAGGGTTGAATTGAATTTCATTAAGTTTAAAAGTACGAGGACTTAATTTGAGCAATTAAAATTAGATGGGTTAAAATTATCCATTTGATAATTTAAAGAATAAAAATACAATTAGACCTGAATTTAAACACAACAAATTTATGAAATTATTAATTTATAGACAAACAAATCTGATACTTACATTGTTCGATATATGTTAAAAAAATATGCATACATTGGCACAAATTGTAGGGTTGCTAGGATGGGGGTCTCTTTTTTAGGAAGTACTTCAAATACATATATTTTTACCGATAAACCAATTTCAAAAGGCTGCTGTAGATGCCAAAAAGATCCCACTTCGTAGTGAATTTATCCTAAATCAGGATCTTTTACTCAAATTTTTCCAAGTTTTGTCAGGAGAGTTACCCCCATATTTTTCCTTGAACTGGTTAAAATACCCATAATTTCTTACATTTTTTTAGGGGTTAGATCCCGTAACTGGAAGTCTATTTACTATTTAGTGAATTTTGAAGCTTAAATAACAATTTTTATAATATAATAGCTGAACTAATAATTGTTAACTAGAACAATTGTGTAGTATATAAAATAATACGGCCATGTATAATGATTTGTGTGGCATTTTTATTTTAAATTTATTATATTAAACAACTTGAAAGTGTGCAATGAATTAGACAAGATACTCATACTCTAGCCCATCCCATAAAATTTTGCCAGAGCAATTTATTTGATAATTGTGCGCAAAGTATAAATTATATATGAATTTTTCGGTGCATATTTAACACCTTCAATAAGTCGATTCACATCAGACAATTCAATTCAATCAGTAACCCAATAATTTAACTAGTAATTCACTAACTCACTGCCTCATCCGAATCAATGACCAATCCGTTCTTATAAAACTGGCCTAACTAAGCAGGTAATTTTCCTCTCCAATATGGGTATCTTTTTTCCTTCAGGAGATTACTTTCTCATAAATTTATTTATTTAATTTTCTATCAACCCCTCTGTTATATTTTAAAAATTAGTTCCCGAAATAGCTTTTTACATTCCGTTTCCGAATACAGAGGGGTGTGGTTAGAAATAAAATGCGGTGCAAAATGTTTGGCCTTTTATTTAGATATCCATTAGATCCAAACTCAATTCCCATCCCAACAAGTAACCTAATGGTATGTTTGGTAAAAAAATTTACAAATTCAAGGAATTTAAAATTTCTGATATTTAAATATTTTAATTTTAATTTTTATCATTCTTAAAATATTTTGTTTAGATAAGTCAATTCAAATTTCTTAAATTTTAAACTATTAGTTTGAATATGATAATTTAATTTTATCATGATAAAATAAATATTAGTTAATTTTTAAATATTTAATAATTTTAAAAATTAATATTAAATAATATTTAATAATTTTAAAAGTATTTTTGAATATTCAATCATTAAAAACATAAAGAGATAAAAGATAAAATAAAATATATAAGTGAAATAAGAAAAAAAATATGAAGAATTTCAAATTCTTACTTTTTTTTTTTTTTTAGAATTTGAAATTCTCCATCTAAACAAAGTATTTCATCTAAAAAAATTTGAAATTCTTCAAATAAATGAATTACTCCATTTAAATTTTTCATCCAAACACACTATAAATGACACAACATTTATGTTTATCTTGAAAAAAAATAACAAAAAATCATTCGTGCAGCTCTAATAAGTTTTTAAGGAAACACGACTTACAGAGCATATACAAAGCTATAGTACAGCTTACGGTTACATTTCCTCACAAGTCATACAAACACGAGTACACAAAATCATAAAAACTACATTTTTCCCACATTGGCTGCCTTAAAAGGTGGCTTTGAACCAAACGAGAATGGCTAGTCTTAATTTGCTGGAGACATTAGCATAACGAGACCAATCACAATGCTGCCATTCACAAATTCATCTCTAGGGTGGCAATATATTCAACTATTCCAGAAATATTAGGTAAAGACCAAGGCAAGGTCAACATTCCGTTCGGTGTCAATTTAGAAGAGATAATACATTCCACTATCCTGAATCATAGAGCCACCAGCACTTGAGATATTTGCAAGAGACCATCTTCAATTTATTGAACAAATGCAGTGTGGATGATCCAACTGGAGTCTGTTTTGGTAAATTTCTCCAACAACACTTCTAATATAGAGAAATAAGAAGGAAAAATATATTAAACTTCTCTATAAGCTAAAATTAGTTTATACATATGTTAATTTGTGGAAGCTCTATCCTATTAAATTCTCCAAAATCTTATTTTTAATTCATGCATAAACTAGTTTTAGTTTTATGAAAAAATTTATTTCAATTTCTCTTCTTTTATTTATCCTAGAAGTGCTTTTGGAGAAGTTTATCCAAACAGACACAAACACTATAAACAAATGATACTATACTCACCAAAGACAAATACCACAAGGTTAATATATAAAACTTCGGTGAACAGCTGGTGCCTTTATTGTCAAAGGATGTCAAGGAGAATGATATACCATTGTGTCATGTAAGAGTCAATGTCCTTTAACCTTGTCATCAAGATCTTGGATTTAGTTGCAAGAAGGTGATCTATTCATTTATAAATATATTTACTACAACTTTCAAACCTATTTCTTACGAATTACTCTAGTGCATGAGACTCACACTAAGTATTATGAGGAGTAGATGTACACAACCTTGCTGTTGCAAGTGGAGATGTCGTTTCTGGCATTAGAACTTGTGACTTCTAGGTTACAAGGCAACCATACCAATGCGAGAGTCGATAAAGGAGATATAGCAGATAATCTTCAAAGGGTCCAAGAACTAACACCTGATGATCCAAGAAAAGACTCCGTGATAACAAGTTGAATGGCATCTTAGTCTTTCTGCAATTTAATATAAAAAGCTATTCATTTTTATGTATATGAGAAGCTATTCTATTAAAAAGTAAAATGATACATTTGAAATTCTCGTTGAATTGAATAGATAGAAGAATGTTGGCTATTTCTTATACATATCATACAGACAAACAAAAATAACCCAAGAAAAAACTATCAGGAATCAGAGTTCTTAGGCACGTCTCACCTCCTGAGTGAAGCATGGCCATCCATTTATGGATTTGACAAATCATTTTGATCGCTCCCTAGAAATATTTAGGAAGTTAGTATTTCATACAGACAAACTACATAACTGGACAAAACAAAGTACTACAGAATATTAATGCATGCCAACGTTATTAATTGCATAAATAGGTCCATGGCAAAAAGCCAAAATCCACCATGTGGCAAGAAGCATGGAAAATGAATTTAAAATATATATTAAATAATACAAAAAAAAAACTGCTAAATACAATGAATAATAATAACTTAAAACAAATCTAAAGATAACAAAACTAGAAATATATTCTATGAAATAAATTTGACCAAACTCTCATAACGTATGCATAAAATCTCATAACAACACTAACAAGAAAGATAAAAGCTACACAACTATACATATTCAATTCAATCAGCTAACATAAAGACTTTTAAGTTTGATTGTTTGGGAAAGATTTTTTTCCCAAAATTTCAGTTGTTTTTATGTAATAAAAGCTGTTTTCAATTTAAGTTGTATGTTTGGGAATATTACTTAAATCTAGAAAAAGCTTTTTTGTTAAAGAAAAAAGCTGTTTTACACAATCAAGAATTTTGAATTGTTTGCTTTTATTTCGACAGCTTATTTTTCACTAGATATTGTAATTCCCAATTTACACATAACTCTACCAAAAGCTCCACTACTATGAAATTAAAACCGTATAATTCTTGAATTTTTTTTTATCAGTGAATTGTTTAATTTCAAGTCATTAATAATGAGATATATTTATATTTAACTTTTAACTTCTCTTCATATTTCTTTATTTTATTTTTCACACTCTATTTTTCTTAATTGTTGTATTTATAACACTTGTTGTTAGTAATTTCTCTATATTTATTATTTTGTGTCTCTCACACTATTATTATTCACATGTATTTAATTTATAATGGAACAAAAAAATTGATGAATAAGTATGAAAAAACAAACATTTAAATTAATATAAAAAATAACTACATACCCTTTTAATAATTTACTATATAAAATTAAAAGCTGATTTTTTTTTGTATCAAAAAATAAATAATTTTTTTAAAATCACCATACACACCCATAGTAATATGAGAAGTAATTTAAGAACAGGTAAGGAGGAAAATAGTATGGAAAACAGCTGGCTGGAGAGATATTACGAGTTGAATCAGCTTTAAGAACATAATATGCAAATTCATCCATACAGTGCCCTTAATAGAATGGAAAAGGCCCTAGTACCTACTACCCATGTTTCTAGCAAGTAGCAAGATACCATTACTCTCATTTTTCCATTTGTATGGCAAGAGGGAGAGAGGCACACACAAGGGTAACCTGCCCATCCAACTTCATTTTAGTTTAATCTCTTAATGATATAGCAAACCAGCAGAGTAAATAGCAAAAGACGTATTCTGCTTGATGACACAAGGCCTTTACCCTGACATATAAGGAAAGTCTTGTAATATTTTATGAGAGCATAGCTTTGGAAAAAAAAAATTAAAACAATAAAATAACAACAATTCAGGATTCTTGAAATTCAGGTTCAATTTCTGACCATATATATAAATCCAACAATTGTAGAAAATACAGTATCTACAAACTTAACGAAAATCAGAATCAATCTCTCATCTTAAATGCCAAACTGAAAGTCCAAGTTCTAAACATGAGCATTATATTACTTCAGCTAAAAAAACAAATAGTATTACATAACAAAGGCAACTATGGGAAATTAGTTATATATAATGAAAAAACTTGAAACAAATTATAATACAAATAATGCAACTCCAAAGAATGTGCATTTTGAGAGGGGAATATTGAGTATAAAATTATTTTTTCCTTATAAAATAATTACCTGAAACAGGTACATCAGGAAGCACATGATCTGTTATCTTAACCTCTTCTGATACTTTGATGGCACTCCCCACATTAATGGAACCATTGCTTTTCCTCACCACTTTTGCCCTTCTGAGTTGATCAATATAATACAGTTATTATCTCATATCAAATAAAGTAATGATAATTGACATTATGAGATTATATATATAAAGAAATTCAGCTCAAACCTAATTAACTTGCGTTTCATAATGCCTGCCTTCAGCTTTGATGACACCCCTTTCATAAATCAAGAAAACATTATTTAAATTGCTCTGACAACTATGCATACACAAAGAATAGATAAAATGAGAAGCAAAGAAAAGTTAACAGCTTGTTTGGTTTGTGAAAACATTTTCCATTTTCATTTTATACAAATAATTACAAAAATGACATTGTTTTCAATTTATTTTCTGTTTTCAAAAGATTTTTATATAGGAATGAATAAAACAACATTTCATAATGTATATCACTCACCTGGTTTAAGAGCCAAAGAGGTTGAAACGGGCTTACGATTGCCCCTCTCAGCTTTAATGGAATCAATGACAGAATCAGCATTCATTCCCAATCCTTTTCTTCCGACCAGTTTCACTCCTAGCTTTTCACAAAGGTAATTCAATCTCATTTCATCACCGCCTCTTACCTCTCTTAGGTCAAGAACCTGTTGTCTTGATAGCAAAGTGTAAACATGAAGCTGCTGTTGTTGATTAAAATGTGATTGAAGCTGCTGAAAAAGTAATTTGTTTGAGTGTTGTTGGTCTTGTTTTGCAACTTCATGACATTTCTTTCTAGGCTCGCTAAATGTTACCCTCAAGATTGCTGGTGACTTGGGGTCTGTATTCTTCCGAGCAAAAATGACAGAAAAGCTCCCAAATTCTATATCAGGTTCTCTAAATAAATCTGCAAGAAGGGAAGCACAAGAATGAGCATTTGAAGGGGCCTTATCAACTTTCATCTTCAGTGTTCGAATATTAGCATGGTGGGCCATATTTGCAGCTTCTCTTAGACCACTTAGGAAAGCCCCATGCATAGTAGCCGGATAGCGCCTAGTGGTTGCTTCCCCAGCAAAGAAGAGTCTACCATCTCCCACACTTTCTGCTAAAATATCATAATCATCACCAGATGCGCCGACTGCAACATTAGAGTAAGAACCAAAGCAGAAGGGATCACTACCCCATCTAGTACAGACAGTTTGGATAGGTTCAGGAACAACAATTCCTTTTGGTTCATAGATACCTGCAGACAGATAAAGTATTTTGCTTCATGAACATTTCCTAAATAAAATAGTATCCATATATACTAAGTAATTAGCTTTCATATGAAAAAGTACCCTTAAGAATTTGAAGAACCCGTGTGACTGCATCTGTAGGGGGCATGCTCTCAAACTTATGTGCAGCTTCCCCTGCTACTAAAGCAATCAACAGGGGACCACCGGCAACTGTTGCATAACTGTAAAACAAAAAAAACTCCCCACGACGACTTGAATCATCATTAAGATGCCCAAACGTGTCAAGATCCATCTCCCAAAACACATGAGGGAAAAGCATCGCAACCTTATTCAGCAGACCAAAACCCAATCTCTTTATTCCATCAAGTTTCCTCTGAGGCAACTCTGGTATAAACTTGATAGACCCTTTTTTCAACACACCTAATGGAACAGTGCACAACGCCATATCACCCTCAAAAGCCTGACTCCCTGCAATCACCTGCACACCATCCCCACTATACCTAATCGTATGCACAGTTTTCTCATACAAAATCGGCACATTCTCAGCCAAAGCCTGAACCAGCTTCCCATTGCCCCCAGGCAAAAAGCAATGATCTCCCCCCATATCATACGGATCATCCTGGTCCCAAAACGCAAGCGAAAGATGCGACAACAACCCAGCATTCGCGTACTCCAAATTTGCAAGATGCCAATTGAACAAGTTCATCTCCTCATCACTCACACCATCCTTAAACACTTGCCGAAACGTCTCCAGCGCCGCCCCGAGCGACACATCCACCGAAACCTCCCCCATCAACTGCCTAAGCCTACTTGCCTTGTCAAGCAAGCGATTAAACGCGGACTCCACCTTCACATCCATATCCGGATCAACCGGCCTCCCATCCACGCAATAAAGTGGACACTTATCCCTCACCTTATGAAGCAACTCACCCAACTGCCTAGCCACAATCCCAAGGGGATTCCCCAATGTACCCGTCAACACACTCCCTCCCAAATCCGCAGCAGCACACAACCTATTCCCTCCCTCCATCTTCTTCGTGTAAACCCGGCCACCGGCGCGCTTCCGCCCTTCCAACACCGTCACCCGGAACCCAAACCGCATGAGCTGCCGGGCCGCAGCCAGCCCGGCAAGCCCAGCGCCGATGACAATCACGGCGGGGGTGCTGGGCTCCGCCGGAATCTTCTCCTTGACAGGAGAAGCGACTCCGAAATTTATGTAACCATGCGAGACAAGGTAATTATAAGCGGAATCCAAAAGCGCGTGGTAATGCTGCGGTATGTAATCGAGGAATGCTTTCTTACTCACCCAATTGGAAACATTCTCGCGCCACTTGGCGATTATGTGGTTCCGAATGAGAGTGTAGTTGACCTGCTCGATGCCGCCGATGACCGGGAGCACGGCGGCGTCGATCTCCTCCTCCGTGAGGGAGTCCGCCGGAAAACCCGCGGTGAGGGCGATTAGGGCTTCGGTTTTGGGCTCCTTGTTGATTACGATGATTTCGTCGGAGGCGGGGGCGCGGGAAGAGGAGGAGGGAGGGTGGTCGGAGGGGAGGGGGAGAGGGAGGCGAAACGACGAGGGATTGCGCTGGGAGCGGCCGCGGCGGCGCTTCTTGGGGACGGAGAAGGAGAGGTAGTGGTTAGGGTTTTGGAGAAGATTTGGGATTGAATCGGAAGTGGGGTCTAGGAACACGTTGGGGTTTTGCGGAGGAGGGAATTGGGGTGGGGGATCCATTACGACGTGTCGTTTGATTCTCGATTAAGAAGAGGGATTTGGAATTTGTGAGTTGACATTCGGTTCTCGGAACTCCCAGGGAGGCAGAGAGCTTTGCATCCGTACGACCACGACGCGGCCACCGTTTAGTTGTTGCACCGTTCACTGCAGAGTGGAAGCTCGCCTAGGGAGCTTTTGCATTGTTTTTGTTTTTTATTAAATCATAATTTTTATTTAACATTTTGGAACGTTTATTTATTAAGGTTTAATTATTCTTCAATTCTATAATTTCACAAATTTTCCTTGTCTATACTCGATCTCTATGAATAATAATGTTTTATTTTATTTTTTATTTTTTTAAGTTTCTCTCGCCTATTGTTATAAGAGCAACTTCAATGGGAGACTCAAGTCCCGATTTCTTATCATTGGAAGACTCTGACGTGGCAACATAAGTTGCTTGAAGAAGAGAGAGTTGTTTCCTCAAACAACCGTTCCTTACCAGATTTCAAGCAGATCTTATTGAACATATTTGGAAACGTTTTAGAAATAATAATGATGAAAATTCATTTCGTATAATATCTATGTATTTACTATTGCTTTATTTTATTTTTAATATTTACTTATTGTGTATTTTTTCTCGTAATTTATTTTCTTTTATTGCAGTGCAATTATCCTTTTTAATGAAAATTTAAAATTGGTTCATAAATGATTAGAAAAAAAATTTTAAAAGTTGAATTTCTTAAATTTTTTTACCATTGAAGTAAATTTGTATTTGAGTTGCTTAATACTGAGACGACACACTCGAAATCACTTTTTTCATTTTTCAATGCATGAAGCAACTCAAATGAGTTGCTTCCATTGGAGATGTCCTAAGAATCAATAAATAAGGTTTATGTATTTATAAAGATTAAAATACAACAAAATAACTTATAATAAAATGGAACGTTTCATTTTTAGAAGTGGAGCACAACAACTTTCAACAATCATATATTGAGTCTCAAGTGTATTTAAAGCAATACAAACTTGTTTTTTTATAATGTCATGAAATTAAAGCACTCTTTACAAGATGACAAGTATCACTATTATTCTTTTTATCTATCCCACGTTTTGCATAATCAAAATCAGAATATCCAATTAGACTTAAATGTACACCTTTTGAAAACTACAATGTTACATCAATAATTCCTCTTTAAGTATTTTAAAATTGTTTTAATAGCATTCATACGAGATTTTTTAGGATTAACTTGAAATCTTGAACAAAAGCATACAACAAACATTATATTAGGTCTACAAGTTGTAAGATATAAAAGAGATCTGATAATAAGTTAAAGTAGCTTAGCCTTTCTCTCTAGTTGGATGATGATGATTCTTGAACCCCTTCTTGAAATTATCCACAAAGGATTAAAGGATTCTTTCAAAGAGAAAATAGATAATTTCATCTTTTTTGCAAGAGATTTAATAAAGTTACAAGTATGTTGGAGAAAAGATACACACTAAAAGGGGAGTTGAATAGTATATTTCAAAAACTCGCGCTTTAGCAGTGAAGTAGTAATTAGACAAAACGTTGGAAAGTGATCAGATAAAGTAGTGGAAAGCAATATATGAAGATGCACAAGTATTTTTATATTGGTTCGTCTCAAATCCAAAGACTACATCTAGTTCTCAATCCAACTAGATTGAGTTCCACTATCTTGTACAAGATACAAGTATTCTTTCACAATCCTCTCTAGGCTTAATCCCAAGTATTCTTTCTATAAGCCTCTCCAGGTTCAATCCCAAGTATTCTTTTCACAAGCCTCTTCAGGCTCAACACTAAGTATTCTTTTTCACAAGCCTATCCAGGCTCAACACTAAGTATTCTTTTACACAAACTTCTCTAGGCTCAACCCTTACAAATAAATTTGATAAGAGTTACACGAATAGTTTCGTCTCTTCTAGACATGATGCTATATCAATTAAGCACAAATAGTTTACAAAGATTTATGTACAAGGTTTGCTATGAAGATCTTTTTTGTAGTACATCAACTTCTTCCATCTCACTACGTAAGCTTGCTCTTTATTTTTAGTGCTTTGCTTTTTATTTTTCTTCACATCCTTCACTCTTTTTTTATTGTTTCATTGTATATTGCCCATGTTTGTAGTATGAAGGCTTGACTCTTATATAGTAGCTTTTAGAGAAGATGATTGTTGTAGCAATGTTCAAAATTAAACGTTCATATTTCTTCATATGTTGCATCGTTTGTTTTCTTGGTTGATCATAGGGATTACCATTTATGCATTAAATGTTTATCAAAGATGCATGTATTCCCTATCTAATATAGACAACTACTTATCATCTTTTTCTCTTATTTTTTAGTGTAGTAGAGAATGTTAGTGCAGAGCAGTTGGGACTGGTGTAGAGCAGTCCTTTTCTGTGAAATTTGGGATCTTGCTTTTTCTATCCTGACACAATGATTTGACATTCCCTTTTTGAAAGCTTTCATTTTCTTTGAAGAAGTCTTCCATTCGATTTGTTAAGGAATAAAGTATTAATGCTCCTTAAAGTATAATCTGACTCTTCAACAAGAAATAAATGTAGCATTAATCCATATCATGCACTTCATCTTACAAATGAAATATGACATCTACTTCGTCTAAAATAGCCTTTATAAGAAAAACTCAACTTTTTGTTGTTGTCATAAAAAGGTGTTTTATAAAACACTAATCCATTTAGAAAATTGTTTTTATAACATCTTAAGGGATTTAAGATTATCTTTTGATACATCATACTTCCTTTTGTTCTAATAAAAAGATTTTCCGATTATATTATAAGTTTTATTAATAAATTAATTAATTTTATAATTTAAATATTATTAAAATAAATTATTTTATTTTTATTTTCAAAAAATAGATTATTACAAATTAGATGTTAATTTATTATCTTTTTATAAAAGAAGGTTTTATCACATTAATATATGTTACGTGCATCACTATATTAATTTTTTGTTATTTTGCTTAAATCCTATCATTTTTTATTTTCTTTTTTTAATTCACCAAAATATATTATTATATTTCTTTATAGTAACACATATTTTTATAATAAGCATATATTGTGATTAAATTAATTAGTTAAATTATTAAATCTTAACTAGATCTAGATTTCATTACTAAACTATTTTATTAAAACAATTTTATAATAATTTATTAATTAAATTAATGTGTAAGTTCTTATAGTTCTTTTTTCAAATTTTTAATTAATTTTCTATAGTTGAAATATTCTTAAAAATTCTTAAAATTTATTTTTTTAATTAAATTTCCACTGTTTAACGGTGTTACAATTCTTTAAAAAAAATTAATTCTTATAGTTGTAATAATAATTACATTTTTTTAATTATCGTAACATGGTAAATTTAAGATGTTAATTTCATCTTTTATTTTATTTGTTTTAAAGATTTGTAATTAAATCCTTAATTTTAAGTTTTAGCTACCAATGGACGGTGACAGAGTTAGACAACTAGTTGTTTTTAATTGAATTGGCCAAATACATACATATTATTAAAAAGAATTTTTTTTCTTCTATTTTATTTTATGTGTGAAGTTTTAAATGTTTAACAATAATCACTTTATAAATTTATAATTTGAGTAATTATTTATTATGTGAGTCGTATATAGAACAATTATATATAGGATAGATTAAAAATAAATCAATCAGTCTTGAAAAAAAAATTGAACACCTAGACATGTATTTTATATTGGAGCAAATTTATTTAATTTAGAACTGTACTTACATGAGAGTATGTTGGTAATTTTGTCATTCTCATCCTCCTTCCTCTTTGTCCTTGTCCAGGTAGTATTTACCTGTCCTTTGAAATACATTTGATATCCTTGTGTTATATATGCCAAAATGGGATTGATGATACTTGCAAAAGACACTTTAACGCTCAAATCAATCTTTAAAATAGGTGAATCAATGGTAGTTAATTATGATAATAATAAAAAAATACCCATTTTCTGTCTCTAATCATCATTATTTATACTAACTTTAATGGGCCTAGGCTCATAAGTAGGTCCATTAACACCAATAACACTTGAGGCGGTCCCTTAAGCTATGTCAATTATTGAAGCGTATCGAGGGATCCTCGGCTTTCCTTGTGTACCTTTCTGGTGGAAAGTGTCGATGAGTCTTCAGTTTTTTCCTTGTACCTCTCCAGTATAAGAATAATATTGTGATTGCACTATGATGCAAATATTATAATTTGACTGATATCAACCTAACTAAAAAATATCTAAGTAACACTCTAATATATGAATATATGTAAAAAATAAAATAAATAAAATATCACCTTATAAACCAAGAAATCTGAGTCATAAAATTATTATTTGAACTAAAAAGTTATGAATTACAATAATACTAATTAATTTTTGTAATAAATTTTTATACTATTTTTTTATATTATAAACTTTTAGGATGAACTTTATTTTGTGTGAGATTTGTCGGATTAAATTTAAAAATTGAATAAATTTTGATAACTCTTTCATTATTCTTCATAATGTTGTGATATTTTTTTGTCTTATATATATTATACAACTTTTTGCACATAAAAACAAAGAGAATTAAAAAAAATGCGGGAAGGGAAAGGGAGCATGGCCTCAATAGATACATGATATGCATGTATAGAAAATTTAAAATAGTTCCTCTTATATGACTATAAAATATAAAGTCTCTTATGAAGTTAAATATATACCATGTACATATATATAATATACATCAAAGTGCAAAAAATTGAAAGTAGAAAATCTTATCGTTGATCAAGCATCTCTATACAAGTATATTGTATTAGAATAATACATATTCAGCATGACCCTCCACTAAACAAGCTATTCAGCCTAATCTTGTCATGCTCTCATACTAGGTATGATCGTTGCAATCTAACAATAAAGAAAAAAAGTAAGCTTGTGAAAAAAACAACATAATCACAAGTAATGAGATCACAACTTAAGCAACATAAGCAACTTAAATCAATAAGTTAGCTCACAACATCAACTTCAATCATTATTCACAACTTACAACTTCCTCAACATAAGAAACTTCATACACAAGTTAACAACTTTAAACAACTAATGTGTTGTCACACATATCAACTTATGGAGACATCTTACAACTAAGGTAAGTAGTTTAAGTGGTTTGACCCTATCCAATCACAACATCTAACCTATCTTTTCTAGGTCAAGTA